TTAAGACATTCTATAAGATACACTGACTTCCGGTTGGGGTTATAGATATAGGATAAAACCAGAGACTTCCGAGTATTCATTCCAAGGTGAATATATTGAGGAATAAATGAGTGGTTTACGATAAGGAGATTACACCATAGTCTTCTGAAATGATTTAATTGTTTCAAAGTGAACGATGTCATTTTAAAGTAGGTTAATAATCAATATATTAACAAAATACGAACTAGAAGCGGAGGTGCCTGAAATTGAGTTAGGTACCTTGTGGTAAAGATAAGTAAGGGGTACCTCGTATACGAAATAAGTGCCTGTGATCAAAAGTACTAATAATCATTGATCTGAATTTTACCTCCGATTAATTTTTACGGGTATAAATGCTGAATTTGTAAACTTTTAACAAGTAAAAATAAAAATCACTAAACCAAAATTCTTTTAAAAATTACAGCTGCAGTAAAAATAATCCGTTAAATGGTATATAAAAATGATTTTAAATCGTTTTCATCATGATTTTCAGAGGACAGCATTTTCAGAAAAATCAATAAAAGCCCTTCAATCATATTGAAAAAAAAAATCTTGTTGCATTTCTAGAATTCTAAAACCATATACACAAATTCTCTATCTTACTAAAATTAGATGTTCCCAATCCACTATATAGCTACTGATTCACAAATGTTTCTGAAGTAATAGGAATTTCAAAACATCTAATTTTAATTCGAGTGACACGTGAGTTTCATTGTTAGTCTAAGTATCCTTTGATGCCTTATCAATGGTAGTTTAGTCCTGATATAGCAAAAAGTTATTAAGAATGACCTTGCCCTTAGAACTTTAACCATGTCAGGTAATAGAATCAAACCAAACATCTGAAGCATCCTTAAATGTATCACCCATTCAATTTGGTCAATATAGGGCTTATAGGTACATGTACTTTAGAATACCTGCTCCAAAAACTTGAACCTGGCCATTCATCCCAAAAATTTAGATCAGATTTAGCATCAAAAACAAGTCAACAAGTGTGCACTCCTAGATGTGTCATCAGTTTAAGTTTCAAGGACTTAATTACCAGCACTAACTTTAGAATTGAAAATCGTCTAAAACATTTTCTTGGTCATTCATCCAAAAAATGTAGATCAAATTCAGCATCAGAAGTTTAGTTTAGCTGTTTGAATACTTACATGCATGCAAGTTTGGTCAATAGAGCTTGTTGTTGCTTGAAAATGATACTGTACACCAACTGATATTCGCAACGAGTTTATTTCGCGATTTACTAAGGGAATACTAATTTGCAAAGATTAATTTTTGCATTCAAAATTTTTTGGAAATTTTTCAATAGACACAGAGACTTTAAAGACCGGTTCACGGCGAGAAATATTCGCAATGACGATGCTCTCGCAAACCTCAAGAAAATTTCTCGCTCATGAATAAAAGTTGGTTTACAGTATCTAATCCAAAAACCTGCTTCTAAAACTTTAATTAGTCCCGCTCCAAAAACATTAACTTAGCTCCATGTCATTCTTTAGTTGAATTTGCAGCATCTGAAACTTCGACTGGTTTAATGAATCACAGATATTACTATCAAAGATCGAAACATTTTTCATGTACTCAGTATCTCTGATTAATATAGTGCGAGGAAGTTCTTGAAAAGACTTTTACCTTTGTCACTGATGTTGATGGTATTAATTAAATTAGCTCACCCATTTTGTTGGAGTGAATTAAAATTAACAACAATCTTAACAAGAGACCCAGGGGCCACATCGCTCACCTGGGCAATTGGCTAGGTAAAAGCAACAAGAGGCTCACGGGCCTTATAGGTTACTCGAGTATCATATGGCATATAACAACTTTCCAACAATTGAATTGGTTCGTGTTTTAAATCAAACGCCATGAAAGTCAAAATTTTCAAACAGGTACTGTTGCTTATCATAACTATACACTTGCTTACTTTGTTTACTTAATACCCAGAGGTAGATCAGAGTAACAAATAGAAAATACATGTCCACTTTATAATTCATTTATTTCCACTAAATAATTATTAGAGCCCCGACCTAACACAAAAACCCCTGACCCTGGGGCCAAGAAATTCACAAATCTTGAAGAGGCATCCTTCATCATCATAATTATGTACATTGTTCATTGGTTTAATACTCAGGAGCAGAGAAGAAGATTTTTAAAGAATAAATATATTTTCACTATATGATCAATAAATGATCAATAGAGCCCCGCCCTAACACCAAAACCCCTGACCTTGGGGCCAAGAAATTCACAATTTTGAAAGAGGAACTCTTATTCAACATAACTATATACTTGTTTAGCTTTTTTAATACCCAGGAGCAGAGAAGAAGATTTTCAAAGGATTTATGCATTTTCCCTTTATAATTAATAGAGCTCGACCCTAACACCAGAACCCCTTACCCCAAGGCAATGAAATTCATAATTTTGGAAGAGGCAGTCTTATTCAACATAACAACGTATTTGGTTTGTTTATTAAATTTTAAAGAGGGCCATAAATTTCATAATGTTGCCAGAGGACTCAATGCTGATGACAATCATGCAAACATCTTGACTGCTTGATGTCCAGGAGTAAGGAAGAAGATTTTTAAAGATTGCATTTATTTTAGTAGGTTTGGCCTCACCCCTCAGGCCCTAGGGGAACAGGGACCATAAAATTCACGATTTTTGTTTCCCTTCCTCCTTAGATGTTTTATGGAAAATTTGGTTGAAATTGTTTGAGTGGTTGCAGAGAAGGTGAAAATGTTCAAAAGTTAACGCACGATACACAATGCACGACGACGGACGAAAGCGGATAGCAATAGGTCACCTGAGTAAACTCAGGTAATCTAAAAATCAGTTCAGTATTGAAAAGTTAAAACATACTAGTAAAAGTGGGTTCAGGAAATTGGCGTGTATTTGAACAAAAGTAAATCAATACTTCCTACGGATGCTTTTAAATTAACATGATACATAATCGCTTTGCTGTTTGTAAGATGATTTTTTTTTCATTGCTATAGCCTTGATATTCCTCTGTATAACTATGACCCACTAATGCCTCCTCTTTTCTCCTTGTTGTTTATGATTTGAACAAATCTAAATCTACATTACCTTTTTCAATGCTTTCATATTCATGATCAATAATGGATTTGCTGTTCTTGAAATGTGAATGCTTCTCACGATTTATCCCATGTATTCCTTTGTAAAACTCTGATCACCCATTGTGGCCCCACTCATCCCCCTTCCCCCAACCCGGGTCATGATTTGAACAAACTTGAATCTACACTACCCGAGGATGCTTTCATATAAATAATATGAATAATCAAACCTTTGCTGTTCTCGAGAAGAAGAATTTTAAAGAATGTTTGTATGTAATCCTTTTTAAAACTTTGATTACCTATTATGGCCCTACCCTGGCCCCAGGATCATGACGGAACAACCTTGAATCTACACTACAAGAGGATGCTTCAACATATAAACTATTACCTATCATGACTTTGCTGTTCTTGAGAAAAAGTTTTAAAAAGATTTTCCTATGTATTCCTATATTAAACTTTGATCCCTAACAGTAGTTTCACCCTACCTTTGGGGATCAAGATTTGAACAAACTTGAAACTACACTACCAGAAGATACTGTAAACCAACTTTTATTCGCGTCCGAGATTATATTCTCGAGATTAGCGAGAGCCTTGTCATTGCGAATATTTTTCGCCGCGAACTGGTACTTAAATCTCTTTGTCTATTAACAACAGATTCAAACAAGGGACACAGGGGCCACATCGCTCACCTGAGCTCCAGCTATATAAAACTAAAAGCAAAAATTATCCAGTATTGAAACATTTAAATGTTAAAGTGGTTTCAAATGGGATCATGATTTAAACAAACTTGAATCTACACCACATGAGGATGCTTTCATATAAATATGACCAATCATAGCTTTGCTATTCTTGTTAAGAAGATTTTTAGAGATTTTTCCTACGTATTCCTATGTTAAATTATAAACCCGGAATCCTCCCCCCAATCATGGCCACACCCTACCCCTGGGGTCATGATTTGAATAAACTAAAGAGGATGCTTCAACATGAGTTTCATCTTTCCTGGCCCAGTCGTTCCTGAGAAGAGGTTTTTTAAAAGATGACAGTAATTTTTCATTAATTCATAATTATCTCCCCTGAGAAGAGGGCTTGGCCCTCCAATTGATTAAACTTGAATCCCTCCACCCAAGGATACTTTGTGGCAAGTTTGGTTGATATTGGCCCAGTGCTTCTTGTGTAGAAGATGAAAAGGTGAAAAGTTTGCGATGACAACGTCGACAACAACAACGAAAAGGGACAAATTTTGATCAGAATAGCTCACTTGAGCCTCCGGCATCACTTCAACATCACTATGACCAATCATGGCTTTGCTGCTCTTGAGATGAAGATTTTAAAAGATTTTTCCTTTGTTTTCCTATGTTTAACTTTGATACCCCACTGTGGTCCCACCCTACCCCCGGGGGTTATGATTTGAACAAATTCGAATCTACACTACCAGAGGATAATTCCATTTATAAACTATGATCAATCATGGCTTTGCTGTTCTTGAGAAGATTTTTAAAGACTTTTCCTATGACTTCTGATATTCAACTTTGATACCCCACGTGGCCCAATCCTTCCCCTGGGGGTCATGATTTGAAAAAACTTGAATTTACACTACCTGAGAATGCTTCTACATGAATTGTATCTTTCCTATCCCAGTGGTTTTTGAGAAAAAATTATTAACGTATGTCAATAATTTTTCAAGAATTCATAATTATCTCCCCTTGGGAGAGGGTGTGGCCCTTCATTTGAACAAATTTGAATGTCCTTCACCTAAGGATTATTTGTGGCAAGTTTGTTGAAATTTGCTCTTTGGTTCTTGAGAAAGAGATGAAAATGTGAAAAGTTTATAACGACAACGTAAAAATTTTGATCAGAAAAGCTCACTTGAGCCTTTGGCTCAGGTGAGCTAAAAATATCATCTGGGTAAATGAACAAAACCTTTTCTTTGCGTTGTATCTTCCTTCTTCCTTTCCTTTTCTACCATTTCCTTCTTTTTCACCCTTTCTCCTTGAATGTCCTCCCCTTCATCTTTTTCTGTAAATCCATATTTTTCTGTTATTTGAAACTAAATGGAACATGATCGATTCATACATACCTGTATACTTGTATAGCATAACCTGAAGTTAACCCCTGGCTGGTATTTCCCCCAATTTAAACAACTTGTTAGGGGACAAACCCCAGATCACCCTTCTACTTATGTCCCCTCCTTTTTCAATTCTAAGGGACAACCCTGCATAAACATAAACATAAGGTAATCAAAGATAACAGAGCTCACACCAACAAATTTTGTCTTAAAACACCCAATTTTATGTTAGCGCCCCCAAATCTTCCTGATTCAAGATCAATAATTTACCGCCTGTCAATCATAAAAAAACAATAGCTTCTTATTTGATTGACAGGTCAGCTACCTGTGCTTCCTGATAGTTTGTTTGCATGTTTTGAAAACAAATACATGGTCACGCGTCAAACTCTTTCATGTACATGTACCCACATAGTATACACGCGGGTTAGAAAACTCCAATATGTTTGAATTTTATTAGAAAGAATTATTGAAAGTAGATTATTAAAAAAATGACATTATAAAATATTTCTTTTCTATCTTCACTGTCGTTTGTTACTTGTAAGTGTTATGTCGTCCACGTTATCTGTAGAAAAAAGACCGCGTCCACAGAAATTTGCTCTATTTGCCGTCTGACGGTTTAAACTATTTTTTAAAAAATGGGATATAAGAAAAATATTCAGCACTAATAAACGGCATAGCATACTATGATATTAGTTTTAAAAGATGATTTATTTTGTACTATGGCTACAATACGAACGATGTTGAACAGAAATTGATGTCAGAATTAATTTTTGCAATTTTTGATCGGATAATTGGCTTGCAGTTACATTAGAATAGACTTCTCCCAAACTTCTAACTAGTCACTCATCTAGAAAAAAATTATATTCAAATCCAGTATCTGAAGCAAGTCCATTAGTGTGCATCCATTGATGCGTCATCCAGGCAAGTTTGGTAAAGTTAAGGCTCAAAGTTACTTTAGTATGAACCAGTTCCCAAGACTTTATTTAACCTGTTCCCTCATCCAGAAAATGTAGGCCAGATCCACCATCATAAGTAAATCCATAAATGTGCATCCTTTTAATGTATCATCCATGTAAGTTTGGACAACATATCTAGGGCATATTATTACTTGAAAATGAGACCTGCACCAACACCTTTATGATAATTGTTCACTCATGTATCATTGTTGCAAGTTTGGTCAATATGGCTTAAAATTACTTGGAAATGAGACTTGCACAAAAAACAAAACGTGTTTGTGAAACACTGATGCCCCCGTAAGACAACTTGAGGATTAAACTTTTCTTAAATGCAAATTTTATATAGTAATTTGTACCAAAAGTAGGTCACCTGACTGGAAATCCAATTATGAAACATGAAAGTCCTATCACCATCTGTTCCAAAGTTATGGCCAGGTTAAGGTTTTTCCCATAAGTACAGATATCTTCATGGTCAAGGTCAGAAGGTCAAGGTTATAGGTATCCAATAAATTGGCTTGACACAAATAAATCATACGTGAAGTATGGATTGATTGTATGTTGTTTAACGTCCCTCTCGGCACTTAGGGCCTTTGAGCAGTAAGGGATCTTTTTCGTGCCAGCACATACTGCGACACGGGGCCTCGGTTTATACGGTCTCATCCGAAGGACCGGTCTCCACGTCCCACAGTGGGATTCGAACCCGCGACATAAGGATTGACTCCTTACTTCGCGACTCTAGAGCAGACGCTCTAACCACTGCGCCACGCGGGCGACGTGAAGTATGGAAGCCCTAGCACTAATTGTTTAGAAAGTATGGCCAAGGTTAAAATGATTTTAAAAGAAGGTGAAACACCAAGATCAAGGTCAGAAGGTCAAGATTATTGGTATTCAATAAAGGTCTTGTCACAAGGATTACATATGTGAAGTGCGAGACCCCTAGCCCTTACCCTTCAAAAGTTATTGCCAAGGTTAAAGTTTTTCATAAGTACAGAAATCTCCAAGGTTTAAAGGTCAAGGTTATTGGTATCCAATAAACGGTCTTGCCACAAAGAATACATATGTTAAGTTTGGAAGCACTAGCTCTATTTAACCGTTCAAAAAATGTGCCAAGGTTAAAAAATTTAACAAGAGGTAAAGGGACCACATCGCTCGTCTGAGCACATCGGCTCGGAAAAAGCACATATCAGATCAGAACTAAAAGATTACTGAGGTGGGGGGGGGGGAGGGGCTAGAATCTTAATACTATTTGAGAATGCCTTCATATCAATAGAGCATATGAATTTGCTGTCCTTGATAAAAAGATTTCTTTTAAAACATTTTGTTCCTACATATTACTTGGCTATAATTTGAATTTGATTCCCCATTGTTTCCCTCCCTGCCCCAAAGGGCTGTGATTTGAATAAATTTAAATCTTCAATACATGAGGATCTTTACATGCAAATATGACTAAACATAACTTTTACCCCATTTTGGCCCCACCCTATCCCTAGGGGTTATAATTTTGACAAACTTGAATCTACATTACCTGAGGATGATTCAATAAATATCAGTAATCATGGCTTTGTAGTACTTGAGCGGATGATTTTAAAAGATGTTCGTATATATTACTACGTAAAACCTTGATCGGCCATTTGGGCCCCACCCTACCCCCGGGGGTCATGATTTGAACAATCTTGAATCTTAACTACCTGAAGATGATTTCACATGAGTTTCACTTTTTCTGTCTCAATAGTTCTTGAGAAGAAGATTTTTCCTATATATTGTTTTGTAAAATTTTGATCAACGATTGTGGCCCAACCCTACCCCCAGGGGTCAGGTTATACACAAACTTGAATCAAAACTACCTGAGGATGATTCCACATGAGTTTCATCTTTCCTGTCTCAATCATTCTTCAGAAGATTTGTAAAGGTTTTTCCTATATATTCCTATGTAAAACTTTGATCTGCCATTGTGGCCCCACCCTACCCCAGGGGTCATGATTTGAACAAACTCGAATCTACACTACCTGAGAATGATTCCACACGAGTTTCGTCTTTCTTGGCCAAGTGGTTCTTGAGAAGATTTTTTTAAAATGCCATTAATTTTTCACAAAATCATAATTATCTCCCCTTGGAAGAGGGCGTGGCCCTTCATTTTTATAGACTTGAATTCTCTTTACCTAAGGATACTTTGTGGCAAGTTTGGTTGAAATACGCCCAGTGGTTCTTGAGAAGAAGATGAAAATGTAAAAAGTTTACAACGACAACGACGACGCCAACGACAACTACTACAGAATATGGACAAATTTTGATCAGAAAAGCTCACTTGAGCATTCGGCTCAGGGAACTAAAAAATAGGTCTAACTCTGAGGTCAAGGTCAAAAGATAAAAGGTCTTGGTATTAAATGAAAGGTCTTGTCACAAAGATTGAATAAATAAAGTATAAAAGCATTAGCTTTAATCCCTTAAAAGATATGATCAAGGTTTGTTTTTTTAAAAGTAGGACAAACTCCAAGGTCAAAGAGTCAAAGATCTTCGTATCAAATGAAGGGTCTTTTTACAATGATAACATACGTGAAACAGGAAAGCTCTAGCCCTTGCCGCTAAGTTATTGCTAAGGATAAAGTGTTTTAATAAGTACGGAAATCTCCAAGGTCATGGTCAAAAAGTCAAGGCTGGTAGTATCCAATGAAAGGTCTTGCCACAAAGAATATATACCTAGAGGTATGTGAAGTATAAGTGTCCTGGTTACTACTGTTCAAAAGAAATGGCCAAAGTAAAAGTTTGAAATTTTCGTGTTAAGTGGGTCAAACTCCATGGTCAAGGTCAAAGTGGCACTCAAAGAAAGGTCTTGTCACAAGGAATACACATATTTAATGTGAAAGTCATAGCTCCACTAAATCAAAAATTATGGGCAAGGTTAGAGTTTTTGCGGACAGACAGACAGAGAGAGAGACAGACAGACAGACGGACATGAGAAAAACTATATACCCCCGAAACTTCGTATACAGGGGCATAAAAAACTAAAACCTGTTCACTCATAAAAATATTAAAGTCAGATCAATCATCCAAAGCAAGGCTGGTAGTGTGCATTCTTAGATATATCAACCATGACCGTTTGTCAACATATGACTTATAGTTACTTAAGAATGAACTTGCTCCAAACCTTCATCTGGAAAATATATGTCAGCATCTGAAGCTACCTCAGGTAGTGTGCATCCTTAAGCAGTACAGTTCAGATGACATTGGAAACACTGGCGATTTTTTTTCAGATAAACAAGATGTATCTGTGAAAGACTGATACCCCCGTATGGCAATATAAAAAGATTAAACTTTTCTTTAATGCAAATTTAATATATTGGTACTGTGGTGGTCCTGGAGGTACTGGCCTCGAATTGCCCTGCTACCACCGATCATATGGTATACGTCACAGCACCTGTCGTGACGTATACCTATCCTCGCTCTCTTTTCTATTACATGCTGCAGAGTACAGACGTGTCTCTGTCAGCTCCGCCATTATTGTAATCTATATTGTATATTATAACTGCGGGCACTAATAAACAGCGGATTATTTTAACATAGTGTTTTCTCTGTTCCGCCATCACCGTAATAGTAGTTAATATAGAGAAAAGCTATATTGGCGCGGCGTACCAGGGTATATTAGTTTGACTGCGGGGTAAAACCTTACCTGCACATGTTAGTGCCCGTCGCCATCTTGGATATTTTTTCTGAGATGTAAGGTAAGATGTATTTTGTATATACGTTTATACTTGCGTTTCTTGTTTAGCGGATTAACCGCTTAATTCATGTAAGTTTGTAATTTTGCCGTTTTGAGGATACCGGGAGAGATAAATCATGTTTTCAGTTCCTTGGGTAGGGGGAGAGGGACTTCGAGGCCTAGTGGGGACTGGGACGTTCATGTTGGGGGAAATGACCAAGCGGGTCTGGGGAGTACCCCGGGAGAACGCAGTCCGCGGAAAGTTCCGCCTCCCGGAAGCGTTAGATTTGCTGCGGGT